GTCCTATTTGGTTCACAATCAACTGCAGGGGCAAAATGGTCATTTTACAGTCAAAAGTCAGAATTTTTAGTCAACATCTTATTTTGAGCTCACAATCATCATTTGATCAAGTCTTGATCATGATTCCACAAGCATGGCCCAAAAATTATCAAGATGCAAAAGTTTCTATTTTTGGACAGTAGAAAAGTCAACTGTATCTTGACCAAGGCATAACTTTTTCATGGTTCATCAGAAAAATCCCATCTAATGCTCATTTTTAAGGGGATGACATTTCCTACAACTCATTTTCACATTCCAAGTCCAATAAATTCTCTCATAAAAAGTTTTCAATTTCTACATTATAGGTCAATTTCAAAAGTCAACAAAAATGCATTTTAAGTCAAAGACCATAACTTGAGATTGGTAAATACAAATGACATGGGACCAAAGGCATTGGTTATAGGACTTAAAGACCTTTCCAAAATGTCCAGGAACATGTTCATATGATCAAAATTGAGCAAGATATGCATTGGAGAAGTTGGGAAATTTTTTGTGAATTTGCAAAAGTCAACTTTGCTCAAAACACATCATTTTTGCTAATGGGCCTCAAATTCCTTCTTGAAACTTTGTCCGAGGCCTATGCACGACCCATTGAGATTAAATTGAATTATTTTCTTATTTTTTATTAATTAATTGAATTTTTTTAATCAATATTAATTCATTTAATTGATTTAAAATGTAGGAAATTCAAAGATATGATTTCTCAATCTTTTTGTGAAGCAAAAGTGGTCAATATATGCTGGAGATTTCGTGTGCCAATCAAAGAGACCAAAATCTCCAAAATTAGCAAGTTTTGTCAATCAAAAAGATTGGAAAATATTTGATTTTTAATCAAATATTGAAACCATAATTCCATGGATCTTTGACCAAGATTTTAACCTAAATCCATTCTATTATAAGTACTGAAGCTAAACCTAATCATGCACACGTGAAAAGCTGCTGCAAAAAGCCATAACCAATTCCAAAAAAATCAAAGAAAACTCAAAACTGAATTCCACATTCCAACGTGATTCAAAGCATTTTCTTGATTCTAATACATTGTTGAGGTCCCCAGAAACCTTTTGGAATCAAAACCACGTGCTAAAGCTATCAGAATCACCAAGAACAGTCTAAGGGTTTGCGTTTTTTTTCTAGAATCGAATTGCTTATTTCATGCATCATTAACATAATTTTGTGTTTGTTTTGTGTTGCTTAAACTCGTAGGAAGCTGATGGTATAGTCTAATTGGATTAAAATGCAAAGAATCGTAAAACGCCATTGATGAATTCTAGGTTTTCCAAGCTTCCAAATTGGGGCTTTTCAGTATAGGAAAAATCAGGCTTCATAAGACCTATGGTTGAACTCAGGAGATGCAGACGAACACAAAGCTACCATCGCGCCCTATTTATATAGCCTGTAGGCCTATTCGTTATTTTCGTCGTCCTGTTTAGTGGGGGTTAAAAACCCCCGCTATCTGTTTATTATTTTTACAGGTGAACGGAGAAGATGATTGCGTGTTGATACGTGGTTGGCTGGTTTGAATAAAAGGCGCACTTTATTTGTTTTACAACATATGCCTTGACTTTGATATATTATTTGTATTGATTATCATTATATCAAATGCAGCGTGATGGCCTAGTGGAAGACGTGCTGGCATGCAACCGTTGGGACCTGGGTTCGATTCCCAGGTCCACCCAAATAATTATTTCTATTTTTTCTAATGTGATCATATGCAGATATTCAAAGGCGTTCCACCATAAACCTCACGTTTCAGCATGCCATGTGGCCACTATCACCAATCCAGTGGTCCAAGGATGAAGATCATGATGCTCATTAGTCAACCAACGTGCAGACAATTCCAGAAGTCAACGCAGGCTTGAGCTTAGTGGGCCTCAGAAATTCCAGACTAACCTCCATATTGGGCCCTTCACCCCCCTGGTTTTATTACTTCTTTTTATTTTCTTTTACTAACTTTTAATTATTAATATTATTATTATTTAATATAATTAACTTATTTTCATAATAAATTCAGACCATTAAAATGTAAATATATTATTTATTTATTTATTTTCACTATTAATCATTATTTTGTAAATAAATTCTAATTAATTAGTTTAGTTGTTTAATTAGGACAATTTTAATCTTTTTCATAATAAATAAAAACAAACTTAGAATTAGGGTTTTTCTTTTGACTTTTAATTTCTTTTATTTTTATTTTCATTAAAACATAAAAAACACAAAAATACTTTTTTTTCTTTTAATCATTTAATTAATTAGTAAATTAGGTTTAATATTTAATTTAATTGCAAAAAAGGACCAAATTTCTTTCTTTTCTCAAAAAGGGTCAAAACCCTAAGGACGTCCCGATTCAATTTCTTTGCGCGCACTTTATTATTTTGATTATATTTATGTATCTGCTCAGAGAATGTAATAGATAATTAATGCTTTTATCGCTTTCTTTACTTTCTCGCAATTTATTTTCAAGGGTTATGTTTTTGGCGATGTAAATACCCGACGCCTTGTAATAGCGTAGATTCAATTTCCGCAATTTATTTTCCGCACAATTATTAACCGTTAATTATGCATGCAAGACTTGTTTGAAAAGTAAAATCAACTCGTAGCTCACCAATAACATGAACAAGATAATATGAACTGAAACTGGACACACGTGCACATGCCACTCCTAGGGTACGCCTCACTTGGTTGCCTCGACGTGGTCATCAAGTATAAGGTGTTTTAGAGGTCGCCCTCCTGTCTAAAGATCCAGTTGCCTCGAAACGGTTGCCTCGGATAAAAAGGATCTAGGACATTAGGGTTACCGCTAAAGTATCCTGCTATTGCTTTGGTGACCACATATGTCCCTATAATCGAATTGACCCGAATAACTCCAACGACGGTGCTACCTACTTCTCAATAGTGGGATAGTACTGTCTAAAGGACTCTTACACAGCTTAATTCCTTAGAGTAGGTAGATTTCTCCTGGGTACTTGCTCTTTCAAAAAAACAAAAACATCTTTTCGCACCTACACTTTCAAAAAGTTTTCAAACAAATACTTCATACACTCTTGAGGACTGATACAAGAGTTACCTAGAAGTTTTTCAAACTAAACTTTTTCAAAACCCACACACACTTGAAAAGCAAACAAATTTTGAAAACATAGTGAGCAAGTACCTAAGAGCCCATGGATAACCATGGATAGAAAGGGTGCTAACACCTTCCCTTTCTATAAATCTACCTCCCGAACCGAGAAACATCTCGAAAAGGAATTTTGCTGTGCTTTTGTCCTTTCCTTGTTGGAGAACATAAAAGACGGTGGCGACTCTTGCTTACCGTGACATTTCGCGAACCAGCACTTCAAAATAGTCAGTTCTATTTCCACCGATCACAGGGCCTATGGAGCAGGATCTGGTCCAAGGCCATATGAATTTTACAATCAAACTTCTCATTCTCCATTATCAGCATGATCTACTCATAAAAAGGAATTTCAAGGAATTAATAAAATTAAAGCGACACTGTTTTATGAAGGAGATAAAGGATAGACCTTGAGGTGGTTCAACCTCATACGAGAACCCAAAGTTCTTTTCTCTCTGAACTCAAGGAAAATTCGTGGCCAGAGCAACGACGATCGCAGCGCCTGGTGATCAAGCAGGAACAAAATCACGTCGCTAACTTCACTTCTATGTTCTGATTCTAAATTTGCCTACGATCACTGTCGATTCGAAACCATGTTTCTTCAATAGACGAAGGAAGAGACGATGTACAAAATTGACTTTAGTTATTCCTTCCTCCTCTTTTGCTTCTTCTTCTTCATCTATCGTTCTTCTTCTTCAATCGCTCTGATTCTTTGTGTTGGAGAGGTCGTGCAAGCTAATGGAGAACGGAAGAACATGATTGAGGATTATTCAAGCTTTGTGAAGTTTTTGTTGATGCTGAGATTGAAGCAGAGGTGTTTCCGATGCGTGATGAAGATGTGAAACAGCTAGTTACAGATTAATCTTTGATAAAGCTCATATAGTGTGAAAAGATGTCGAAGATTCAGGGGAAATGAGAATGAACAAGAGAAGTTGAGGAAGAATTGCAGAGACAACTGAAGGCGATTTCCAAGAGAGCATACAGAGGACTCGTGAGAAATCAACAGAGAGGATCAAAATAGAGCTTGTGCCGAAGAGAGAAAATCAAGATCTTCTGGTGAGTTTTTCTTGGTGAATCAATCGTGAATCTCTCTCCCTTTTTGTTACAGTTTTGTTGAATTCTGTTGAGAGTTTTTTGTTGTTGTTGAATATGCAAGTGGTTGAAGTCGTTATCACCGTGATTGGTACTGATTCGGTAGTTGTAGCAGAATCAGCCAAATGTTGTTGCAACTTCTTAAAGATATGAAGCAGTTGCAGAGATTTAGTTCAACAAGAACGCATGGAGATTTTTTGAGTTTTTTTAATGAATGACGGTAGTTCTGGAAAGATCAGAAAGAAGATGGAGATGTAGTGGTGGTGAGGTTCTATGAAGCTTGTTGCAGATTGTTGAAGATGATGATTCGTGAGGATGATGATGAAGAAAAATGGAAGGGAAAGTGAAGGATTAAAGGTAATGACGAGGTTGAAGCGTAAAGGTTGAAGATTAAAGAGAGAATGTAGAAGATGAATTCTAAGAGAAAGGTGAGAGAGAATGTTGAGATCTTTTTCCGTGTTTTTATGATTCTTCTTGAAGATTAAATATGTAAGATGATGATGAGAGGAGAAGAAAGAGTGATGATGATCAAGAGTGAAGATTGGGAGAGTACCCACAAGAAGAAGAGGAAGAGAAAATTTTAGAGAATTTCTTCTAGTATTTTTTTTCTGTTCTCTCTGAATGAATCATGAACCATCCCTTTTTCTTATGTTCTGTACTTGTTATCCCACTGCCTTTCTTTTATGCTCTCTCTTTCTCCCAGAAGTTTTTGTTAGAACTTGTTTTTACATTTATAAATTGGTTGGGATTTTCTGTTATGACAGTTGGTGAGTTAGTTATAGATTGTTTGGGTGGAGGTTAGTTGGGAATAGGTTAGGAGACTAGAAGAAGTTGGTTAAATTCGATTAGTTTGTTATGAATTCTGTTGAAGTCTGTTTTGACAGTTAGCCAATGGTTGAAGGAAATTTGGGTTTATGTTTTTGATCCTGTGGACAGTTAGGATAGGAGCTGTTATGGAATCAATTAGGTGGTTAGAAGATTAGTGAAAATTCTATCATGGTTTTTTCATTAGTTTATTATGTCGGTTTCCTGTTATGCAGTAAGTCGTTAGGGATTCTATTGCGATTCAATTAGTTATTTTTCTGGTTTTCTATTTTATGATATTTCCTTTTACATCTTTTGTGATTATTCTATATCAATTGTGAATAGAAATCGAGATTGAGTCCCCTTTTCCCTCTCTGGTTTTATTAATGCGGGCTGCATGTTTGGATAATCGATATAGGGTTGAACTATTGCGCAGACCCTTTCTTAATGCACATGGTCGGTCTGTTGTATGTTTTAAACAGCAAGGCATTGCTTCTGTTTATGAATGTTTAAAGTTCCTTGATATCGCATATGCACTAATCTGGTTCTGAATGTTGTTAGAAGTTTTGTTTGAAGGTTAAAAAAAATGGAAAAGTTGGAAACGGTTAGAAGTTGGTTAAAAGAAGTTTTGTTGAATCGTTAGTTCTGTTAGGATAAAAACTCTTAGTTAGTAGCAGTTAGTTAGCTGTTAGCTTCTAATCTTATTAGAGCAGTTAGTTTTATGAATTTCCTTTTTGTATTGTCTTGGCTTGGGTATATGGTTTTTCATGTACAGGTTGTCATGTCATGATGAAGGTGATATTGCAGGCCTGGTGCATAATTAACGGTTGGTTAATACAAGAAGCCATCCCAGGTTCACGACATGGCTGGAATTTCTTGGTAACATATCTTTAGCTTTATTTTTGAATTTTGTCATAACCTGAGCTTAACGACCTTATGGGTACATGACAGGGCAGCGATGCGTATTAATTCCTTTATGTTATGCAGGTCTGAGCATGGTGCACGAGATGCTTATGGCTTACAGGCAGGTCCATCTGTTAGTTGACCCTCAGAGCTTTAAGTAGATCATGGACATCGATTGAAGAATAAAAATTAGGAATATGTTTAGGAGCAAAGAAGAACATAGGTTTAAATCTTAGTAAAATTTTGTGTATTTTTGATATGATGTAATGCATTGGAACCTTGAATGAACTTGAATGAACTCTTGAACTTTAACCTTGAATGATGACATATATTTGTAAAAAAATGATGATGATTTGTACTTGAAGCTTGGAACTTTGATAACTGAGATGTCTTTTTGTAACTTCAGTGTAGTGACTTTAATTTGTAATGAACATGGTGTATTATAACACCTGAACTTTGAATGAGGAGGTTTTGGATGAGATTTGGATGGATTTTGAATGGTATTTGAATGATACTGAAAGTGATAACTTGAACCAAAATAATCACTGTTGCACCCCAAAATTTGCCCTCCCATTTCCTCTGCTCAAGACTTCTCCTTGCACTGTTGACCCAAATTAGGGTTTGTGATTGCACAAGGATATTTTGACCTAAAATGCCTAAGATGACTTTCATGCTTCATGTTGAACTCCCAAGTTTATCCATATCAAGTTTCAAGTCTTGATTCCAAGTTTTGCCCAGTCAATTGGACAGTTGACCTAGAAATCAGCTGTATTGGAGAAAAAGTCAACTGTGGCCAATTGACAGTCAAGTCTCATGAAAATTGACCCACATCAACATTATAAACTCACATGGATCATTTGATCAAGTTTGGATCACAATTCCTCAAGAAATTTGATCAGATCACCAAAAGGGCAAAATGGTCATTTTTAGGGTTTTGACTGCACAAAGGCAATTTTTGACTATTTGACCTAGCCAATGGCAAACCAAGCTCACATATGGACTCAAGGACCCTATGGAATTATCTTGACATGCTCAAAAAGTTCAAAAGATCCCAAGTACACAGGATTGACAGTTGAATTTCCCAGTCAATTGATCAATTTTGACTGTATAGTGAAAAGTCAAACTTTGACTTTTTGGTCAAAATCAAGAGTCAAGATTCATTTTTCATCAAAACATGCCAAATCATGAAACTTGTTCACCAAGAAATCACAAAATGCAAATTAGGGTTAGAAATTAGAATTTTTCATAACTTAGAATTTTTCTAAGTTATAAAAAACCCTAATTTTTTTCTAACTTTGCCCCACTTTTTCACCAAGATCCATTTGGATTCAAACAAAAGTCAAAACATGAAAGTTGTAGCTTGTTGCATAATCTACAACTTTGATTCACAAAGTTTTCCCATTTGAGACTTGTATCTCAAGTTACAAATTTTTGAATAAGGGCACTAAACCATTCTTAACTTAGTGAAATTTTAACCTATTTTGACAAGGTTTTCTACCCAACTTCAAGGCCATTTTCCATACACTTCCACTTGGAATTTCAATTTTCATTTTAAATATGGATTGTAGTACACATTCCAAGCTTTCCAAAATGTCCAAGAAATTCTCAAACAACCTCATAACTTGAGAGAATCGAATTTCACAATTTGGCAAAAACTCACTTTTGAATTGATCATGAACATGTTCATAACTTAAGCCATTTTCAAGTAAGCATAGTTTGTGCTAAATTACAGGTCCTAAAACCCTTTGACACTCAATAATTCAATGCAAAACCTTTGTGCCAAGGCCTTGTTTCATGAGTTCAAGCATTGCCTAAAGGATTAATCCATTTATAGATAAAGCATTTCTTCCATTTTTGCAAAAGGTAACTTTATGTCCAATTGAAAATCCAAGCAGTACAAATGAGATATAATTGGAACAAGATTATGAGCAAAACACTCTGATCAAGGAGATATTATGCAGCTCATTAGGGGGCCTCTACTGACCTAGAACACAACTTGGGCATTTGTTGCTTAAAGTGTAAGTAACTTGGCATATTGTAACACAACTCTCATATCAGCTTAAAAACACTTAAGTGAACTTGTGAAACACACTCAAGACATCCCAACCAAGCTAGTGCACGACCCTAACATCTCTCATACACTCCCAATCTCAGAATCACCTTCAAACTGCAAAAACAGGGCCAGGCCTGCAGTTTGAGTGCCATCTTCCATTTCCCTCAAGCTCTCTTGCCCAAACCAGTTCACACACATTCCCTAGCATCTATGCAAGATAACCATGACTTGAAACACGACCTGTAATCCCTCTAACCAGTTCCACCATTTTCAGTTTCTTGTTTTGCAGGTGAAGTGCTCTAGCACGATTCAAAAGCTTTCAAGACAAAGTAAACATTGGAATAGCATCCCTGGACCTCAAGGAAGCTTTACCAATCATCACCTTGCACTGAAAGCTTCCCCATTTCCAGATAGAACTTCAACTGAACATGTATTTTGGTGAACTTCTATCTCTCTTATTAGGCATCATTAGCTCTAAGTTTGTGAATAAACAATGTTCTACTCATGCCACTGAACATGTACATGTTTTTACTTTTCATTTCTTTTGCTTGAGCTGTGAGAATTTAAGGTTTGAAAATGGCAGAAAATCTAGGTTAGGATTTGGGGGAGAAGAAATTCTCCCTCATCTTAGAGAGTTAGATCTAGTTCTGCATATGGTTGGATTCGTCTCTTGATGCTGAACATTTTTTATGTTATGAGTTTTCATTAATAAGCCAGGAATCAGGAGTTAGAAGTTGGAGAAGAAGGGCGCGCGTTTTGAACTGGTTTTGTCTGAAGGTTGAACTGGTTTTCATTAATAATACATATTTTGTAAATAATATAAATAAATAGGTATATATTAATACACTTAGGATATAAATACCAAAAAATGTACATATTTTATTTTTTAATATTTAATGCTAAAAAATACATTTTTACAAATATACTTCATTTTTATTTTATTCTTTGTATATAAATAGCAAATATTATATATATTAAATAATTAATACCCTTTTAATTAAAATTAGGGTTTTGCCCTAAATATGGAAATACTAAAAAATAATACCTTTTTATTTCTCTTTTTATTCCACATAAATAATACTTTTGTTCATACACATAAAAATTCTTTTTATATTTTGCATATTTATTTCATTTCCATTTAATTATGCAATTATTTATCTTGTAAATATTCAAAGAAAATGATGTAATAGCTAGGTTTAATTTCTTGTCTAAATAATCCCCATTTGAACATTTGTATCCCCCTCCCCATATTATTGTGTTGTAATAGTGTAGGAATTTAAATTTCGCACTTTAATGCTTTCTAAACATACCATGCTAGAATTAGGGTTTGTATGCGAATAAAACGAACAAAATAGTTTGACTTAATCTCAAGATAAACAAGCATGAAAATGGATAACACATCTCACACTTGCACCCCTAGGGTATTCCACTTTGTTGCCTTCAAATAAATGGGCCATATTGCATGTTAGGTCTCTTTGGGCAAAATAAACAAATCAAATGATCATAGTCCCTCAAAATGTTGCCTAAACAAATGATCAAGTCCCTTAAAGAAAATTGTCCAAAGATACTTGACACCATTGCAATTATGGCCTAAACGATGACCCGCGCCCGTCCCTTTCACATCCTAACATAAGATTGTCCACCAAATACAATGGTGGAACAAAACTTATTAAAAGGGTTAAAACATAGCAAAAAAAAAACTTTGAGAAATTTAGGAGTAGACAACCTCTTAGTTACTTGAATAAAAATTGCAAAAACAAAACACTTGCCTATTTTCTAAAACCACAACACTTTCAAAACAACTTTCAAAAACAAAATGAAAACCTTTTTCAAAAGACATACATCTTTGTATACATCCCCACATGGATCATTACAAAGGTTGCCACCACATTGGCTTCTTTTCAAAACATTTTCAAAAATCACACACACAAGCACCATTTCAAACAATTGAAAACAAAAGGAAAGTGATCTAAAGCAAGTAACTAAGAGCCCAAGGATAACCATGGATAAAAAGGGTGCTAATACCTTCCCTTTCTATAATCTACTCCCCGAACCCAAGAAAAATCTCAAAGGTTTTTGCTGTGCTTTTTAAACCTTTCCTTAGGATAAAATAAAAAGTCGGTGGCGACTCTTGCTCAACCGAAACATTTGCGAAAACAAACGCAAAACCATAGTCAGTTCTCCCACCGTATCATAGAACTGGAGACTCTACTGGGGAAAATTTTAAACGTGGAGTAACCTTAGGGCTTAGATCACCCTCTTGCATGACTAATTGTTTGAATTGTTTGCTTTATACTTTGGCTCTATTGTTTGGGTTTGCAAATCCTACACCCGGATTTTTGGAAACATTCATAGATAGCAATACGTTGTGGAAATTGTGCGGGGTATACCGACACGGTCGAAGCAATAGCTATATTAGTGCGACATATTTGTGAGTACCGGTAACCCTTGAGTTCAATCAAGGAGAGTACGGGGCCGCTGAGTGATGTCACTAAGCACTAATGACCTAGAACCTTACTTGACCATATTGGCCTTTTATTAGGAGTAGTGAGATGACTGGCTTTGGTGCAGTCCGAAGTTGGTAGATACTCGATACTACACTCATTGAGGGTTGTTTTCTTGGAATATTTTGGTCGCTAGTTAAGTGGCTAAACCAAAACCATGAACAATGAAAACAATCCAGTGATATTGAGCTCCTTAGAACCCGGTTACTATTGATAGGACAGGTTGTTAAGCCAACTACACTCAAGAGGGTACTTACCTATGAAACCCCATGCAAGCCTGAAACTAGGGTTTGGTATGATTTGCTTGTACATATGTTTTGTGCATACATCATAAACATCATGAAGCATCATATGCATTCACTAACCATTTCAAGGGTTTGGATCTTCATCTTTGTTCTTGTTTTGTAGGTCATGGAAGTTCCTCGCAGAAACACCATTTAAGTCAACCTAGTGAGAATCTCTCCTCAACTCAAGGAGATCACTTCAAGAATTCCGGAAAATTCATCCTTCAGTGAAAGACATGGTAGACTGCTCAGCCTAGTCAACACCAACATTGAAGAAGACATGGTGAAAGTGCTATCCCAGTTCTTTGACCCTCTTCACC